CGGTCTCGTAAGTTTTCGTAATATTACAGAACGTAAGTTTACGCAATATTACGCCCTATTAAATTTACTGATGTAGTAAATTTAAGGTTTCATTATTTAGATTATTTCTCAAATCTATTTTGATCAAATTTTACTTTGAGAAACCTCTTTCACATTTCATACTTAAAAAAGAAATTGAGTAAATAATATTTAATAACTTTAATATATTTGAGAAAGTTTCATTATTATCAATAATAGCTCTTTAATATTCCATCAAAATATTCAATTCATCTTTTTCATAATTGACCAATAATTCTTTATTATTTGGCCAAATCAAATGATTAAAAATTTTTATTGCATTTAATAAAAGTTGATTTGAAAATCTTTCTTGTATTTCTAAAATAACTGCATTAGATAATGATGAAATTATAAATATTAAATCTGATTCATAATCTTCTATTCACATTAGCTAGCTCATGAGCACCAATACTATCATTTAATTCAAATGGTGTTTCAATTAAAAAATTATTTAAATTTTTTCTAAGTAATAATTTTTCATTATCATTAAAATCCAAATATTCCAATTTAATTTTGTTAATTATTATTTTAATTACTGGATTAATGTCTGAAATTTGAATATTTCATTGCTAAAATATTTTACTTAAAATATTAAATAATACTTTCTTTTTGATTTCGATTTAAAGTAACAGACATTTCTAATAATGTATCTATTAATTATTCAATAGTTAAGCATAAATTTTTTACTGCTTCATACCATGATAATCATCTTATTTCATGAATTTGTCTGATTTTTAGAACAGGATGATTTAAAATAGTTTGATATTATCAAAGAATTAAAAAAAAAATAAACTGATTTTATAATATTTTCTACATGCTTACAAAAAAAAACTTTTTTTCTGCAGAATTACATGCTAATGCCAACCTTTGAACAGTATAATGCTTAATAAATAAATTCTGCAACTCTATTCTTTTTTCCAATGCTTCATCAGATGCAAATAAAGTGATTTTTAATATTATTCCTATAAAAATATTTTTTAAAAAATATGTTTAAAATATAAACAAAATATAAAATATTTTACAAATCATTATTATCAAAAGTGTAAAAATGATATTAAAAATTGAATCTGCATCTTTATTTTTCAACTGAATAAGTTAAAGATATTTAACTTTTATTACTCATTGAATACAATATTTAACATATATAATCATATGTGATTTAGATAACTTAAGATATCATATAAAAAGAAAACAACTGCCAAAAACTCCCAAACACAGATTTGAGTATATAATTGAACTGGATACTTATCTGAAAAACTTGATATCCTATTTTACGCTGTAGAGTCAACATTTTCATTAATTAAGGCGCAGCAATATAAAAGGAAATGATCAACATTATACAATAAAAATTACAAGGAAAAGTCATATGATAAAAAAGAAATAATCATTTTATTAAAAGAAGATATAATACACGGATAAATTACGGACCGAAAAGAAAGATTACACGAGACGGATA